CTTCCCATATGACCTCACTCTGTGGGTACTGTCCTTCCCATATGACCTCACTCTGGGTACTGTCTTCCCATATGACCTCACTCTGTGGGTACTGTCCTTCCCATGTGACCTCTTTGGTCATGAAGCTGTAGCCCCCAGCAGAACACGCACTGGGTTTCTGATCAAGGTTACAGGGGTTAGACTACATTAGCTCTTCTCCAGCCCGATTTGGGGCCAACTCCTTCATCTCCGGGTGCTTAACAAGCATTTGCTTGGTGTCCTATTGACTGTGGGGTATAAACTGAAGCCCTAGGGGATTTAATGCTTGATGCTTCTGTGTTCATTCTTGATGGTGCCGAGCCAGGAGCCCTGAGATTCAGAGCCCATCATGGTTTCCTGGAGCATAGTAGGATGGCAAGTAAAGAAACCAAGAAATAAAGCCTTCCTGATACTGCAGAATCCCTGAAACATGACCAGAGCCGTCTCGGAGAGCCCCGCCACCCTGGAAGTCCAAGCATGCAGTGTGACGCTGAAGAATCCCTGAAAAACATCCAGAACAACTTCTGACAGGGCAGCCCGCCATCCTGAATGTCCAGGCACACAGTGGCCAACTCTAGCCAGTCTTCTGTCATCAGCATAATGCATTCATATCTACAATATGGCAGATTTCATATCCTCCCTTTCACTGAATTATTGATGGGCTGTGCACTTTAAAAAAATCAATAGAGCAGGGCGTGGAGCTTGAAGGTCTGCTCTTCTTTTCTCTGTTTTGAATAGGAGCAGAGAGATAAAGCTTCCCCTCTGGTTTGAATAAGTCAAGCCCAGGGCTAGGTTGGCTGTGATTGGCCAGAGCTAGGAAAATGTGGTTATGATGCAAACACAAGCAAATATACCCCGGCGTCTGTGCAGCCATTGCTGAACTGAGGACCGAGGCAGCAGGACCTGAAGCCTCCTGCTTTGGGAGGGTAGCTCATCAGTACTTCACCTGCTGCTTTGCCAGCAAACAGGACGGAGAGGGCGAGGTAAGTCTGTTGTCTTCATACTTTCTGTACTTCAGTCAGATGCTGAGTAGATAGGGCAGAAAGTGGAGGATTGGTGGACCTTTGCTTTTGTCTTCTGAAATGAAGTTGTTGAAAAGATCGGGCCAGGAGTTTGTGGCCAGCTTTGTAAACTTACTAGAGGAAGTACCTGTAGAGCCCACTGAGTAAGTTGAGCACATTCTCAAGGCAGGGGAGGTGGAGTGAGAGGGGAAGGAGAGAAAAAACTCCCCCCCCCCCCATCTGTTCCTCTGTGGAGCAAGAGAAGTTTAAACCCCGGTAGGTTACAAGCTACTAGCTTTTAATTTGGAATCCCCAAACCACACCCTGTGCCCCTGATCTTCACAGCCCCCTGAGGATCCTAAAGGTCTGATGACTTGGAAGAAAGGGATCCAGCTTTGGGGGACTTGCTGTGGAGGGTGGATTTGATTGGCCTTCTGGGTGTGGCAGTACTGGGATCTTGTGTCCCTAATCAGCTCCTGGATTTTGAAGTTGGTGGGGGACATGGGGCTGTATTGGGGTTTCTGAGACTCACTGTGCTAATGCCAGTTAGTTAGGCTTTACTGGGTTAATTGGGAATATATTGGCTCTGGTTACCTTTGCTGAGTGGGTCAAGCATTAGACTTAAAAATCTAGGGCCTGAAGAAAACCTGAGTATTTCCTGGTGATTCTGAGCCGTGCAGGGTGGGGCACCACAATTTATCAAATTAAATCCTCAAACACTGGCAGTTCTGCATCATGGCTCTGCCTTAGTCTGCTGCCAGCTGCACACAAAGGGAGCTGGTTCTTTGGTGGTAATGGCACAATCCTCCCCAAACCTGGTTTTATCCATCAAGGATCACGAAAAGAATGGTCACTTTTCTTTAAGGGGTGGGGTGACACTAGGGATGACAAATGGTCCTACCATTTGAACTACACCCCATCCCAGACATGCTACACTTGACCAGCCCAGTATACCACCAGATAGCAAACATCCACACAATCCCGCCCCTGGCAGTTAATTTTGCTTTTTAATCTCTTGTAAATCCACCCACCCCATCCCTACTTTGAGTTTCAGGAGAAAGCAACCTAGCAGTCATTTGGCAAACTGTCAGCCCAGTCTCCCTGAGAGCAGAACTTGAGGGCCGCACGTACACAGGTCCAGGGTAACTCTGTGTGTTAATAACCAAGCCACATCTGACCATAGAAAGGGTCCCCAAGGTCTCCAGAGCACTTCCTCCCAGCCTTCCTCAGTCCTGTAGGTGCTAGGCACCTCTAGGTTCACAGAGCACAGGTTGGAGAGAAGCTGGGGTAGGGGCAAGGAGGCCACGCCCACCTTCCCCCATTGGCACCCTGAGTCCTTTGTCCCAGGCTCTTATCCTACTTTCCCTATTTTTCTGCAAGACCAGCTAATACATTAGTCATAATAAAGGGATATAACTGTTGTAGACAGTTTACAAAATTAAAAACCAAGAGCAGGTGGGGTTACAAGATCTCACCAGGAACCTGGGAAGAGGAGTTCATGGACTACGAGGCTGTGGCTTAGTTCAGAAACAGTTTCTCCCTGGATCTCCTCTCTATGAGCCGCTGAACTTAGTTTGGGGGAAGGGTAGACGGCATGAAGAAATGTCTAAAAGAGGCTTTCACAATCATATTTGAAGATATGAAAATAAAAGGTATGGAGCTGGGTCCAGTGGTAGAAGTCCATAACTGAAGCAAGTCAGGAGACCAAGACAGACAGAGTCTGCAACCACCTGGGCTATGTGGAGAGACTCTATGAACGAAACAGATCTCATTCTAGTGTGTGCCCATAGACAAGTTAGTTGCTACCTCTTTAGACCTCATTTGTGCTAGGAGGTGACCGCGCCGCCGCCTAGGCATGACACAAGGTGTGCAAAATGAATGAAGGCAGGTTTGACATCACCCCTTGCCCCAACAGACAGCTGACGGTGCTGTTAGAGAGATGCTGCTCTTCCAGAGAACCTGACTTTGATTCCCAGCACCTGCTTAGGTGGCTCACAACCACCTGTAGCTCCAGCTTCAGGGACTCTAACACCTCTGCCTTCCAGGGGCACCCACAGCCCATGCACACACCCACCAACACACAGATCGCTATCAGCCAGAGCAGCAGGTGGAAACAAATCTTTGGGGGCAGGGCTGGTCCAGCCGGATCATCACTGATCTTGAACTACCGTCTACCGCGGTGAGATGGTATTGGGGGGGGGGGGGTGGACACGGACCAAAAGGGCATGCAGCTCGATGGTTGATGTGATGGAAGTCTTGGGAGAAGTGGCGGTTCCCTGTCCACTGTGAGGGGTGTCACCTCCGGCTTTGTGATATTTCAGTTCCAGGAAGATACACTATGTCCCTGAGCAGTGCTTTCAGGGCTGTGGGCAATGACCCTGGGATCATCACCTGGAGAATTGAGGTGAGCCGAATGGGAATCACACCCACCCTGACGACTGGGATTCGAGCCTGTGGCCACTGAGGGCCAGCATCAAGAGCAGGTTTTCCCAGCCTTGTGCTTAGTGCAGGTCCCCAAACAGAACCAAGCTTGTCCTTCATCCAGCCATCTGCTTGGTGAGTCGGCACTTCCAGTAAACACCTCCGAAAGATGTTTACCTTCCCCAGAGATTCTTGGCGGCTGATCAGAGAAACAGAACATAATCATCGTAGGAACACTGGTCCCTACCAGTTTAGGGGGTGGGGGAGACACGCTACACAGTTGGCCATTGCTCATCCCTTTACCCTATGGGTTTGGTCTCCTCTGGGTGGCTCTGAGCTCTGGTCTGGGTCACCTACTGGATACAGGACACACCCACGTCTGCCTAGTCAGTTGCTGCAGCTTGAACACCATAAGTAAACACGTCCCTACTCAATTCCAAAGGGAGTCACTGCTTTCTGGCCAGCCTCCAAGAGGCTTGTGGGAAGCCCAGCCTACTTCCAGTGTTTAAGGCTCCCCATTTACTTCAAAATGAATAGGAAGGGCTCGCCAGGTGGCTCAGTGGATATCGGTAGTGTGCAGCCAAGCCTGGACCTGAGTGTAAGCCCTGGGGCTCACGTAGTGGAGGAAGAGAACCAACTTCCTCAAGTGTCCCGACCTCCACATGTACAGTGTGGCTCTTGGGCACGCCCGATAAATGTAAAAAGGGGGGGGGGTATGCACTAAAATGGACTCATAAAAAGTTATATATCTAATCTTTTCACACTTAACATCCAGATTTTACATAGAACTTACACAAATAGGCTACAGGCTTGCCTTACTTGGGAAGTATTGTTTTCATGTGAGGCTGTATATATGGCCCTCCTAGGATGAGCAAACCAGGGAGGGCCCCAACTCGGGCTCTGAGTGCAAGACTCAGCCTCAGTACCACAAGCTGCTCGCTCTCTCCCTGCTGTTAGCCTCTGCTTTTGCCGAGCTTCCCAGACTTCCTTTGAGCAGCCTGGTGGCTCTAAGTCAGTGGGGGAGCTGAGGGTGGCCACACTGTCAGGATTGCCCAGAGGAGGGGCTTTTACTTCCCCTTCCATGGGCTTACCTGAGTGGGGGGGGGGGCTCACCGGCCTTTCCAGAGGACTAGGGGTGAACAAGCAGGACACGGGAAGGACACGGGGAGGACACCACAGCAGATTCGGAGCCAGAGTGATTGGGGCAAGCTCCTAGTCAGAGCAGCAGGCCTGTGCTGTGCTGGCCACCTGCCCCGCAAGGCTGTGCCCAGCAACAGAGAGGGAGGCTGCAGGGAGGGCTGGAGGTAGTACGGCTGCAATACTCTTCTAATCCTTCTAGAAAATGGAGCTGGTGCTGGTGCCTCAGAGTGCTCATGGCAACTTCTACGAGGGAGACTGCTACGTCATCCTTTCGGTGAGCAACGCCTTCCACATGCAACA